ATATTTTCAGTCCCATCGTGTCAAGAAACCTCAGTAAGCTAAAGATCAACATTGGAATTACGAACTGTTTATTTCCAATTACTTCTTCCTTTATTTTGATATCAGAAGTAATGAATTACTTTTATCTGTATAATAATATCTTTCATTTTTTTAAATAGAAACCACAGTCTAAAATTAACTAAATTTGAATCGTGTCCCCAAACAGCTCTTTATAGCTACAAAAATATAAGTGTTTTAAGCTATGTCATTAATTTCTTTTCATTTTAAAGTATCGTTTTCCAATGTCTTTACAATAATAATGTTATTTTCCATTTCCATTTTCATTTCGTTAAAAGCCTCGAATAATAATGTTGATTAACAAAGAATGAAAAATAAAGTGTGTCCTGACATTTAAGAGATGAAGCAGTTGTAAGGGAAAGCTATTATCCTGGTCCTGTATGAATAAATAAATGAATAAATACTTCCTTAGAATAGCTAAATGCTGTCGTTATATATTTCAAATTAATTGCTTCTAGTCAATTTATTATCAATCATCGTAATGAGAGAAGTATAATAGAAATAAATTTGTAGAACTGTTCCTAAGAATCAAAGTATTTTTAAGCTCACAATTAACATCAGATACATCCGTTAAATAATGATTAAAATAATAAGAAGTTATACATACTCATTAAACATTCCAAGAGAAGAAATAGTCTTTGAATAAAGGGAATTCCTAATTATGTATACTGTCATTTCCAAGAAGCTGATTTACATTACTTCAGCACTTTCGATTGTAAGTTCTAGAGAAATGACAAGTGACTTTATTGAATTTGCTAAGCTGTCCAAATATTCCATATTTATCTTTAGGATTTGGTTTATAAAAATATACACTCGGTAGATAACGTATTATCATCCAATGCATGCAGAACAAGTTTTCTCTCGAAATACGAGTATTAAGTCTTATGTTTTAAACTAAATGGGCAGACAATAAGAGAATATGATTATGGAAATAGAAATTTGAACGATGTAGTACCTGATTTACACATTAATTTTTTTTTATTTTGTGTTATCGTTATCAGTTCATTTATATGAACCTTCCATAATGTATCTAAATAAAATTACAGAAGCTCGAGCTCACATGATGGTTTTTCAAAAGGTAAAAGAGTTTTAAATTACCAATTTCTTTGACATATTGTCTAGATCAAGTAACTTTAAACGCAAACGATTCAAGATACAAAATTCAGTGTCAGGAACGAGATGATTCCTCGACAGCGACGAAATTAAAAATGAATAGAATGAATGAATAGCCATTTATTGACTCAGTTTTATCGATTGTGTTCATGAAACACATAATTTAGTATAGTATTACATCGGAAGCCCCGCTCTCGCTCTCTCTCTCTCTCTCTCTCTCTCTCTCTCTCTCGCCCCTCCAGCATAAGCATTTATATCCATTAAACTGATTGGTACGGAGGTGATCTATACATCAAAATACCTGGGTTTTTTTTGGGAATGCCAAAGTTTCAGAAATATGACAAATGGAAAATTTAAATATAGAAATATCCACACAAAGTCGTGCATTTACACTTATTTTTTTATTAATTACAACTGAATAAATGAAGAAGACTTATATAATAATAAGCATGTAAAATTTTGTTCCCGGCACATACCCTTGGAGATATTTTCTATATAACTCTTTGTTAGTGACAAAGATCAATTACTTGTCTTAATAAGATAGCACACAGTGAACTGTTCATAGCTCCAAAATCACGTGCTATACTTTAATTGATACTTCATGTTATCAACATTTCAAGTAGTTAAACCTCCGTATAAAATAAAAATGCAAAAAAAGTTTTATACGAAAAGTTAATAGAAACATCATTTTACCTCAAAATGAGTCTTATGAAACTATTAAACGGCAAAATTTAAAATCATAAAATACAAAAATATTACAAAAGAGATTTTATTTTATGTTTTAACACATGTATTTATTTTGGAAATAGGAATATTAAAAGTAACAAAGCAGGTCGACAACTAGAATGTTACAGATAGAGTTTTCAACGATACCACGATAATTTCAAATGTGTTCAAAAGCTTTTGAACAGTAACGTTGTATATTTAATTATATTATGACTGCGATTGAATATATGACGTTATAACATTGAAAATAAAGAAGAAATAATTATTTCTGCAGGTTTAAGAACATAAAACCATTCTCATGTAATAATATAATATGTCAAACAATGATTAAGTGATTAATTCATAATAATTAATTATGCGTTACTTTGAATGAAAACTGACTCTTTTTCATAAGTAAGAATTTCTCATAATACAAATACAAAACAAGCACACAATATTTAGCAGGCAGTTATTTTTACGATTATCACTAATTTTGAGGATTTTGTAATCACATGTTGTAAAATAACATGTGCTATAAAATAAATTACTATTAACGTTTTTTTCTGTCTTATTTGTTTTGCATTTTGTTAATAAGCAGTTTCTGCAAGGTTATGACTCCATATGTTTACTGATAAAATAAATTATTTCACAGTTATTTTCTTTTGCACACGCAATGAAAAAGGCGTTTCGTTTTAAATTTTCATTTCGATTAAAACCTTTAATTAAAAACGTTGTTGATTAACACAGATCAAAGCACGGTAATTCAAATCACATTACATTAAGTGCATATCAGTAATCGAAAAAATATCAATTAATTACTGCCTTGCGACGACAAGCAGAAAAATGTACAAATATTTTTTTCAAATATAAGGAGCATGGTGATTTTTAATACCTTTGCTTTTGTTATTGTTGTTGGTTTTAGTGATAGTTACACATTGTTTCGATAGAAACAAAAGGATCACATCCATTAGAAAAAATGACACAATACTTACTTTAGCTGTAAGATGACTTAGATAGATTTTTAAAAGGATTGTTTATAATAATAATGATTGATCAATAATTTATAACGACTTATATTAAGAGTAAAATATGAAAGAAAAGAACACTTTTTTCGACAAATGCTTATACTAATTTAAAAGCAAATGTCAGTGATGAAATGTCATTGTGCATTATCTACTTGAAAACTAAAACAGAAATGACATATAATGGCATTAATCCTTCAACGATTTATTCATCAACTGTTTGTTCCAAATGAAGAGTGTAGTACATAAAGCCTGTGTCTGACCTAGTATCGATAGAATATCCATTAACAGTGAGGTGATTAATTAAAAGATTCTACCATAGAACAGCTTAACACTGTCATTTATTATCCCCCAACAATTGATACTCGATATTTCTTTCGTATAAAATAATCCTATAATAATCACATTGAGAGGCAGCAAACGGTTAAGCTTTATGAACAACTTTTGAATGCCAAAATGACCACTCATTATAAATAAAACTCTACAGTCTTTACTCTGGATGGCTTTCAGGTTAATCATTATTCGACATAATCTCATTATCATGCACTCCATATTGAAAAGGATTGTAAATAATGTATCACGAATCAGGTCAATATATTTATCATGTGCAAGTAGACACTATGCTTATTAATGATATATATTATCAAAATAAATCTTTCCGTTTATTGTAACAATTACAATTACATACGACTGGATTAACCAGACATTTCTTATTACTTACTTCCATGACCTAAACAGCCGATTTATTGTCTTAATTTGATTTATTTTAGTAAAAGTTTACTTGGCAATGCTATCTATCAACATATAAGCTCCAGACATTCAGGTTTTAAAGATGTTTAAATATTTTCTATAAGACTCTGTGTTTACAAGAATGATCCTGCAACAGTATTTTATTCATATAATATTTATAATATGAACACAATTTGTAGAGTCGATTAAAAATACTACATACACACAATATATAGCCAGTTTGACCAGTTGAAGAAGGAGAATTTAAACCCCTTTCTTTTTAACTCTATGGAAAATCAAGTGACATTTGGGCCGGTGCCATTTCTGACTATTAGGTTATGATTTGAAAAAAAACAACTTTATACATGCTTCACACAATATATCAATATATCTTAGCTCTTATAATTGTAATAACATACCCAACGCTTAAAACCTGATATTTACTTATTGTTACTGCTTGATATATAAATGTTCACATGTCAATCGAGTAAAGGCTTTATCTCAGCAGTTTGTAATTTGTAACTTTTTAATTTGTAACGAGAAATGATGCTCAAATTCACACGTTGTTTTCTTAATTATCTTCAATAAATAAATATAATGATCATCGACATTTGTTTTTTGCTTAATTTAAGCGAGGAAGATGTGAAAATATGTTTCAGTCAAAAAAAAATTATATTTATAGTTTTATACATTTACTATTTAATTGATAGTCTAAACAAGTTTGTATCGAACAAGCACAGATTGTACGAAATTCACAATACGATTCTGTAATCACTTGTTGTAAATTACTCGTATACTAACATCAAAATGTCACTGCAAATATAATCGTGATATGAAATATATTTTTTTAATATGATTTACATGTTGTCAAGTCACACATAGTGTCTGCAAATAGTTTTTGTTCAAGTTTATAACTCTTTATGTGTTCTTAGACTTTCAGATGGTAAAATAAATGTTCGAATAATTGTCCTTAGTGTATTATTTTCTTTTGCCCATGCAATGAAAAGAAAGGCATTTCGTTTTAAATTTTCATTTCGATAAAAGCTTTAGATTAGAAACAGTGTAAATGTACACAAAATGTAGCAAGATTGGCATGACATTTAGTGACTCTAAGATATTCTCAAAACGGTAATACAAATCACATTTCATTAAGTGTTAACCACAAATGAAAAAATATCTAAAACACTTAATCATTGTCCAAAGTACACGATGTTGTGTTTTAATGAAGACTAGCATGTTTATTGTTTCATTTTGTTTATTAACCAACGAAGTATTTTGAGTTTTCTTTTGTAGTCAAATAATGTTATGAACAAAAGATACATGTACGAAATTAAAGACAAATCACTGACAGTTAAGTAAACGAATTACGCTTACCTGAAATTGAGCTCATAAAGTCCAGGACCTAACATCATGTTAGAAAGGCAGGAGCAAATAAACACAGTTACTGGACTGAAATAAAAACAATAAAATCTGGTAAGGTTAGGAATGAAGTTAAATAAAACTGAATGGTTTCAATCTTATTGGTCCGTGGAGAAATACTGGATTCATCTATAAGTGAAGGGCTATTCGTGAAATCAATCAATCAACTAGGTAAAAGCTACAGTTTGAAATCCAGAACACCAGTCAATGATTTTACTGTAAAGTACATACTTGTCAATAGAGTAAACATCAATACAGTGAAAACCCATTACTAAATATATATCCGTTACTAGGCAATTCCATATGAAGCCTACAAACATTAAATGGCATTTAAGGTTCGCAAAATCAAACATAGAGGACTAAACAACGCATTCCTGTGACAGACAATCATTATTGCTGAAACGAAATGACTACATTTGCCATTTAAAAAAATTCATAAAATGTTCTTTTGACGATGAATGAGACACTGGTGCAGAATTCAACAACTTCTGAAAAAGCATAATACATTTTGCACACAATCGCCTAAGTGTTATTAAAACGTCAAACACAGCTAAAGTATTTTGCTCTGATTTTAAATGCACATTATTAAGAACGGGTAGCTTTGAAATAATCTATGTAACCCAACTTAGAAAGCAAGTATGTTTTAACCTTTGGTATTGGAAATGTTAAACGATGTTTATTGCAATAATTGTATTAAAGAATTTCTAAAATACTTTAGTATTTAATATGTCTTAATGAAAGCAATACTATTTGCCAATGTTTCTAGACTCAAAGGACAGCATTTTTCCAATTATATCAAGTCACATTTCTGTACAAAACTATTTCTGTGTTCTTTTACAACTTTATCTTTTATTACAATTATTGTAATGAAAGTAAAATATAAGGCAAACTAAACCGATGCTCAACCAAACAACAACAATTACAACAAAGCAACAACTTGTCTTCAGTTTATTGTACTTTTTTACTTCCAATTACTCAGTATTGTCTTAAAACTGTTTATTTATATCTATTTTTTATCTCAAAACAAGTTCGAAACTTCAAAAAAGTGAATTTAATGTTATAATGTTTTACATGGTTTAGTACAGGTTTGATTTGAAGTGTATTATTCTCTTATGTACAAACAAAACACATGTTTATTTCAAACGATAGTTTTGTATTTTGATAATGGTAAGTCTTTCATTATTGCCAAAATGTGATGAATGAAGAATAACTGAGTAGTTATTTATTATTCCCTTGAAATAAGTACTATACAACTATCAATTGAAAAGGGAATATAATGCAATTTTTAATTAATCAAGACACAAGCGCTGAAAGACAAAACATTTTGCTTACGGGAATAACTTAATTGTAAACATGTTGCAAATTAAAAAGATTGCATGTATTGTGAGTATTAATATCATCTGTTAGCGTGATTCTTTTTCCAGAAAATATAATCAAAATCAAATTTAATTTTAAATAAAAGGCAAAATAAATCGATACATAACCAAACAAAAACAACAACTAAAAAAGCAACAACTTGTCTTCAGTTAATGGTACTTTTTTATTTACAATTACTCAGAATTGTCTGAAAATGTTTTTATCTCTTTTATGCCCTAAAACAAGTTCGATACTTTAAAAAAGTGAAATAAATGTTTACATGGTTAAGTACATTGTTGATAAAGTGAATTATTCTCTTATGTACAAAGAATACACATATTAACTTCATTTTACTTTTTTTAAATTTGATTAAATATATTGATTGTCATTCAAAAATGCCAAAATTTGATGAATGGGGAATAAAATTGAGTAGTCATTTATTGAAAGAAGTACTGTACAACTCTTATTTGAAAAGGGAATATAATGCACTTTTTAATTAATCAAAACACAAGCGCTGAAAGACAAAACATTTTGCTTACGGGATTTTCTCAATTGAAAACAGGTTGCAAATTAAAGAGATTGCATGTATTGTGAGTATTATTATCTTCTGTTAGCTTGATATATAGAGAATATTATTAAAAATCAAATTTAATTTTCAATATGAAGCATGATGGAACGTCATTTATGCATATTACTTTAAGCAATCATATACAGAAATTACCAATGAAAAATCCCTTGACGAAAAGTTGCAAACAATATCCTTAAACATAAGATGTTATGGACTGTCAATCGGTGTCACATGAACAAGTTCTTCCACGGAAGTCAGGTAAACCTCTTACGATGAATGTATTATATACGAAAAGAAAATTAATATGAAGCATCATTGAAAACAAAACATAATTTTACATAATTATCTACGGATTTTAATTGGTTTTAAGAGATCATTATTTTACATTTTGGCAAAATATGTCACACAACCATTTAAAACAACTTTAAAAACATGACTACATATCTAGCTCATAAGTAATATTTATTATCATCAGATATTTTTTAATACAACAGTGTCTAAAAACATAAGTACACGATATGTATCGTCTATAAAGCATTTCACCAATTTAGATATGGTTAACGGTTACAAAATCTAAATAAATATCAGTAAAGTGCTATGGAATGTAAACAACATTCATGACACACAAAATGTCACTAGGTCGTTAGGTCTTTGCAAACACCGAGAAACCTTTAATATTATATAGAATCACAGGACTGGATAATGGATTATAGCATATTACTAGACATTAGTATGACGCTATGACTCTTAAATGAGATCATTTGTAAGATAAGATATGGTAAATGTTGCTACTATAAATTAATCCAGTAAATATTTCTATATGTTTGATGAGATTTAGTCACAAAATGTCCAAAAAAACGTCATCTACATTGTTTCACTTCCATTGTATAGCTTGTGGTAAGCTAAATTTTTTTCCTGTAAATGTCATGGCTTGTTAAATATCTAAAAAAAACTTGCATAAACATGCAATATAACTAGTCAGTTTTTCTTTTTAACCATTCATTATATTGGCATGTATATTTGTTTTGTTGTTTTGAATGTTTGCGCATTTGAAGTTTGTAACAACCTGCTTAGAGGTCTATTTTAAAGATAAGATACACCATATCGTTGTAATCTGGTTGCAACATTTATTTGTCACCGATTCTATTTTGATAAAACTAACAATGATTGCATTAAATTTCTGTAAAACTATGTTTATCATATTAGGATTAAAAGGAACTTAACAATTTTAAATGTTATACATTTAGGCTTTTTGACTGCAGTGGAGTTCCTTTAATTTACGGTTATTTATCTTGATAAACATTTTACAACACATGTTTTGAAAACTTTTTTCTTAAGTTCATTCAAAACTTAACTTTTATTTTAAGCCTTTTTGTAGCATACATGAAAATCTTTATATATGTCTGTAGAAATATGCAAACGACTTTTTATTTAGATTTTGCTCATATGTCGGATGTTTACATATCTGATGAAAGGGATAGAGCTACAATTTGTATTCATAATATAATTTTCTGTATGACGAATTAGCGGCATATTATAACAGGTTATTCTTTTGTGCAGTAATAAGGAAGAAAACTATTACAGACAGGATCCAATAAAACGATGTCCGCACTTGAAGTTGGTAATTAGTGAGTATTTTAAATATGCAATATGTAATTGTGCAATTATCAATTGTAGTGAAATATCTGTTTCTGGTCGCGACAAAATGAGATACCTATTTAGTATTTCACACCTATAGTTGCTAAATCTTACATCTATTCTCCATCAATGACATTTGAATTAAGAAAATCGAAATGTATTCACCATGTGATATTTGCTTACAAAGGCAAACTAAAAGCTAAAAGCACAGTTGGTTTCTGATCATATGACATTTTCTGCTGCAAACTGTGATACCTTTGAATGCGTAGGAATACTATTTTTCTTGATATTTACATTGCAAAAAGATCATAATAGCACTTGAAAGACACAAATAAGCAATATATTTTCTCCTACTTCTTACATTTGGAAAGCCAAATGGATATTGGTTTGTGTCTTAACAAGGTTAACCTTTGCCTTATACATGAATAAATGAAAAGACAAGTTTAATTTTATACCAAACTAGTTTACCTTTTAAGATTGCAGATGCAAAGAGAAAGTAATAAATCAAATAAAATAAGTTTAATGATTTCGTTATAATTATACAAAGAAAAATAGTTAAATAATTAAAAAAGTAAATTCTGTTCCATAGTTTTATATTTTATTATGTCTTATATTAAAATAACGTTTTATATTTCTATAACAATATAAGACATTCATGTATAAATATCATGATTCAAATAAATGCACTTAAAATATTATTTCATGCAACTTACTTTGTTCGGGAATATTTTTTTGTTTGGTACTTACGTTTGTCTCTCTTTTAAATTTCCATTCTAGAGTTTATTAACAAAATATATATCCGTTGAAGTGTAAAATAAAAATGTTATGTAAATTTTATTTTATAATTTTTATATAATTTTAGTCGAAAGTAACACAATTTTTTTGAAGGAATTTCAACTTTCACTTAGATGTCCCACTACAATTTACCTCTGTATAGCTATATGATTTAATCGTTCATTAAGGCAATTAAAATTAATACATTCTTTGATCCAAAACTCGAGTAATTGTATAATAATATAACTTGTAAAATGTTTGAATTGATCACAATAAAACTATATGCCGATTCACGGCTACTTATATGATGATAATGAAACAATTGTACAGACAAATCATTTTATAAGGCAGAACTCAATCAAAATCACAGACAGTTCACTGCACTTTTGCGACAAACGTTGTTACTATTGCACATGACATGAGGATATTGCAGCCTGCAGAACAAATGAGATTGACAGGTTATGATATTGTTGTTTCCCACCAAGTCATATTATAGAGAGAGAGAATAGAACATTATTTTGTATAAGTGTTTTTATGAAGTTAAATTTAGTAAATTGATCAAAAAGCTATAAAAGCTTAATTACCTTTATCATCTATGTCATATTTTGCTTTTTTTACAATAAGTTCAGTTATAGTAAATTAGTATTTTGTATGGAAGTCAAAATACTACTTTGTTTACATTTAGCTACTTTTA